GAGGTGGTGGTATCGCCACCGGCGATAAATGCTAAAATTCTTTTTTATTATTTTATTATTTTTTATTTTTAAAAATTTACGAATTTTTGATTGGTTATCGCTTCCCAAGTGATCTGCAGTTTGTGTAACCGAGAACGGTCCCTCCTGTTGATGTATTGATTTATGTTAATAAAGAGAAACCTTATAAATATGATAATGTGTGTTAATTTAATGATTTAAGACTATTCGACCTCAACCACTATATTGTTCACGATCGAAGCTAAATTGGTTCAAGTTTAGTAAAGCTCTCCCCCAGATCGTAACACCGTTTACAGCTGTTTTCATAAATTTTGGGACACCGATTCGGTTATTATTTCGGCATAATAGAGTCCCAAATAAGGGGATCGTCTAAAGCCAGGCGTGCACACGTGATCATACGCCAATCAAATAATAACATTTGATTTACCCGGATCAGTCCGACGAAAACGAGTGTCTAAACTTGTCTCGGAGCACTAATACTGTAATAAAAAATGTCAGGAAGGCAATTTTACCTATAAATGCTGCCCTAACCTTAACTCCTAACCAACCCTTACCCTAATTTTAAATTAAATAATCAAAAACATATAAACACACCTGGCTTTAGCCATCCCCATAATTGGTATAATATTTAGTGTAACAAAGTTAACCAATAGAAATCTCGATAAAATTTTTATAGGACGAGCACGTGACAAATCTAAAAGTCCTTCTAGATATTATATATAAGGTTAATATACGGTAAATATACGGTAAAATAATCTGGTATTTATACCAAAATTTATTATACTGTATAATTTCTAACCCTATTCGCAGCAATTAAAGATGCTGGTGAAATGAAATTAATGAGTCATTTTGGAATTCATTAAAGATTATGATACCGATTGAAAAAACTTAATATTTATTCCAACGTTATAGATATGTTTAGTAACTATCCGATACAATGTCCAATCCGGACTTGTAAAAATTTGGATTTTACCTAGGGATGGTAAAGTTCCTAGGTTCGGAACCTTAGAACCTGGTTTTAGAACCTGGTTTTTAAAAACCAGGTTCCAATTTTGGAACCTAGGTTTTTAGGTTCATGATGGGTTCTTAGGTTATGATAGGTTTTTAGGTTTATAATAGATTCTTAGGTTCATAATGGGTTCTTAAATTCATGATAGGTTCTTAGAGAAAATAAGAAAGGTGCATTTATAGAGGTCATGTATTTATTTGGGCCCGAATTTAAGAATGCTTTAGAGAGGGTGTGCACTTATAGAGGCGCATTTATGGAGGTTTTGCTGTATTAGTTATGAAGACATATATTTAGAAGGGCTTTCACAGGGCATGCATATAGGGGGTTGCATTTAGAGGGTCTGACTATACTATAAACTTATATCTAGAGCCAGAACCAGCTTCGGAACCAGGTTCCAGAACTTTTTAAAACCCAAGTTCTTAGGTTTACAAAATGGAACCTAAAGGTTTTGAAACCAAAACCGAACCTAAACCAACCTAGCCATCCCTAATTTTACCCTATAAAAAATTTTCGAAAAACGTATCCCGACTTTCTCCAGATTAATCGTTCAAATCCGGGTAAGATCCAACTTCTAATCTTTTGTACTTCATTATAATTAGAAGCAGAATTTTTACCCGGAATTTATTATGATTCTATGGAAATGATCAAGAATTTATATATGGTTTGTTCCGAAAATGAGCATTTTCCGGAACGATAATGGAGCGATAATCTGAAGAAAGTCGGGATACGTTTTTCGAAAATTTTTTATAAGGTTATTTATAGGATTTGAAATTCAAATAAAATCCAAAATTTTTCGGTTCCGAGTCTATGGCATAAACAGCTCTCGGTTTACAATTTGTCCTGCTGCAAAGTCTGAAAGTTATATAATAACTACCAGAGTGATAAATGATGCTGTAGACGCAATTAGTAAATAAATTTATTATGATAAAGATTTTCTTTACAAATAAAGAAAGATAAATTAATTTAAATATAATACTTAATAATAAAACGGGTTTAGAAAACGGTCTACATTACAGTAAAACAACTAATATTAATGATTATATTTTAAGAAAAAAATTTAATAATTCACATTTGAAACCCATAAATCAATTCCAGGTTCAGGTCTAGTTACAACAATAGTTTTCTTTTGAAAAGTAAAACCTTCAACTAATCTAAACTCAAAATTTCTAATAATTATGGATAAAATGAATTTAAGTTCCAATTGAGCCATTTTCATTCCTAAGCAACTTGCTGGGCCAGCGCCAAAAGGGAAGAAAGTATTATTTGATATTTTTGCTTTTATTTCTGGATCAAGCCACCGAGATGGATTAAAATGTTCTGCATCACCACCCCAAATTAAGGGATCATGATGGATTGAATAAACTGAAATTACCAATGGAGTATTCTAAAAAAATTTTTTAGTTATATACTATGTTAATATCAAATAAATTGAGTTATGAACGTCATTTAGAAATACCTTTGGAATAAAGTATCCATTCATAGTTTCATCTTTTAAACTATAACGAGGAAGCGTAGGCACTAAATAAAAGAGTGGAATAAATTATAGATAAATTGAATAAATCGAATAAATTGAAATGTAAAGAGATATAAACTATACGAGGTGGAGCAATCCTTAAAGTTTCTTTAAAGACACAATCTAAATATTCAACGGTTCAATTTCATCAAATGTTGGAAAATGATTTCGATCAATAAATACGTCCAGTAATTCTTTTCGAAGATGATTCTGAACATCTGGATATTTTGCAAGAAAGTATAGTGCCCAAGATAATGCATTACTAGTTGTTTCATGTCCAGCTATGAGTAATATCATAACCTTTAAATTTAATAATTATATAATTTAATAATTATATAATTTAAAGAAAGTTTAAAAAATAATATATATTTTTTAATAATTTAAATAAAATTTTTACCTGGCTAAGTAGAATAAATATATTAAAACTATTATATCTAATTTTGGATTTAACTAATTAATTAAATAATTTAATTATATATATATTCAATGAATATTCAATGAATTATTTGGTGAATAAATTAAATATTTGAATATTCAATTTGGTAAAAAAAATCTTATTCGAATATTCGAATATTTAGTGAATATTCGAATATACTATTCATTAGATCAGACCTCTATTTATCTCTTTTAAAAAATTATAAAAATTTTTATTAAAATTGGACAAGGTTTTAAGTGTAACAATACATAAGAATCATCATTAACCTTTCAAATAAAGTTCAACCAAAGTGCAAAATATATAAAGCAAAATTTCTCTTTTTTTTTTTTGATATCATCTAGCATATCAGATGAGATCTATTCAATAATATGATCATATAAATTAAAATCATTAACTTCTTGTTTTTATTTATCTATCTTGAATCATTATATCAAGATTGCATATAAGCACCATGCTTCTTTCAAATACTATCTAGCCAAGTTGCTAAATATACAGAACTAAATCTTCTTTTACCAAATTTTTTTTTTGATATCATATAGCATATCAGATAAGATTCACTCAATAATACGATTATAAAAATTAGTTCTAAGTTAAGGTAGAGTATATGTAGATCATTTATTATATGATCTGCATGGCAAATTTTTTTTTGTGTAACAAATTACATAGTAAACACAAATCTAATT